TCTCAAAATTTTCTTGGGGCCCAAACCCCACGCCCTCCAAGCCTCCAGCGCTCACGGTGCTTCGCACCGATCGAACTTGGACCTGCGGTCCTCGCTCTACCCTCAATACAAGGCATTCTGATTTTCAATCTCCTCAGGTTGGCATGTATGGAGTAGGGCAATTGTTGTTAGCCTGGTTGATGCACAGAACTTAAACCCCATTTAACATATATGTAGACAGCTGTCTAGCCGATTGGATGTTGGAATTCTATATAAGAGTAGGCCATAGCGCCAATGCCCGGGCAAAATTACCTCATAATACAATGTATGGTGCATGCCCGTCTTCATTAGCCCAGTCGGAGCAGAACAGTAGGACGTTAAACCCCATTGCATCTTCAGTATCTCCAGTGGTCTGACTCCGTTCATCCATGGAGCAGACACATATTCAAATTATCTGCTCTTGATGATTGTGCTATAACACCAAGATATTCCGGTAATTGGCTGATTGGGACCTGGCTGACTGGGACCAGATTTGTGGCTGACTGGGACCAGATTCGTGGCTGATTGGGACCAGATTTATGGCTGATTGGGACCACGACAAGGCTCATTCGGACCATTACTTAAATGACGCGAGTATTTAAAATATGTTTGCATATTTTTGATAATAAGACAACTATGACAATAAATAGTATAATTAGACACAAATGATAGTGTAATTAGTGAATGACGGCTTCAATACAAATGAGCTAAATCACAAAGAAGATGCTTCACATTCTTGGCTGATTGGGACCAGATTCTCGGCTGATTCGGACCATGATCAGACCAATGACGAGAGTGTTTTAAATATGTTTGCATGACAATAAATACTACCCAGTATTATCAAATTGTAACCCAATATCAAATAGCCTCATATCAGTATAATTACTGCAACGAATGCGATATTTTGTAATGAGTGAAGTTGAAAAAATGACAGACAAATTGTACTTTGTATAATATTTTAATTAGTAAATATCATTTTATTTCATATAACGAGACATTTTGTGTGTATTCAATTATATCTACGTATAATTACACACAATATATAGGCTATAATGGATTCCGAAACAAGCTATGAAGTTTATAAAATAAAATAAAAATGGTCTGTTTTAGACCGGAAGCTCAGCGCGGGAGGGGGGGGGGTGTCCATCAAATGGGCACAAAACCAGACCCAACCTTTCTAGAGTAAAATTTTGCGTAGAATACGATGCCGAGTGGTAATCAGTCCGCCGTTGGGGCGTTTTCGAGATATTCGGGGTCAAAGGTCAAATGAGTTCATTTGCACTGAAAGTGCATAACAGAACCAACACACTTTGAAACCTGTTTCAAAAAAACGTAAAAACTGTCAAATCGAAATCTCTCCGATTTATTTTCACAACGATTGTGATACATAACGATACTAGTTATCTGATAAACAATTGAATAGTTTCAGTGTTGGACTCCAGCCTGCAGGCCGCGTGGATTTCCGAGAATCCCAGTCTAGGAAAACCGACGTTTATCTGTGACGGGAAAACACGCATCTGGCGACGAGATTAAAAGTTTGCACACTTTTTATGAGTTTTTATGAATTTCCCGGAACATGGACGCAGATAAAACCGACGATTGCAATGTACATAGTAGTTCATAGGATATATATGTCGTATTGGTAAATGTTAGCGGGGAAAATTTTGGCAGGCTTTGTGACGCGGCCTGCAGGCTGGAGTCCAGCTATGGAACCATTTAATTGTTTTTTTCAGACAACTAGTATCATTATGTATAGCATTCGTTGTAAAACTAATTCGGAGAGATTTTGATTTAACAGTTTTTACGTATTTTTGAAACAGGCTCCGAAGCGTTTTGGTTCTGTTATGCAAGATCATTTTCGACGTTCCAAAGTAAAAGTTTGGTGCTAAGACCACCTAAAGATAAATTTTAAATGTTCCTATTATTAATTAGAACAGGTTTCGCTTTAGTTTTTATATTTTACGCCGACATTTATTACTTTAAATCTTCCTAGTGCTAAAATGGAAAATGTGACCTTTTGACCTCTGGGGTCACAAAGAACAAAGGTAAATTTAGCATAAAAAATGGAATATAAACATAAATAACGTAGGCCTACATAAAAGCACATAATTATAGTCACGCTATAGCCTAGATAAAACTCCTTTAAACTTAATTCAATATCAAAACCTCAGTTTCTAGTATTTTTTATCGTGTGTTCCGAATCAGCCTAGTGGTGGTCCCAATCAACCTGGAATGTGGTCCCAAGCAGCCTGGAATGTGGTCCCAATCAGCTTTGACTTTTGGTCCCAATCAGCCATGGTCCCAAAAGCCATGGTCCCAATCAGCTTGGTTTCGTTATTCCACCCTACTAACACCAAGTTATTCTACCCTACTAACACCAAGTTATTCTACCCTAACACCAAGTTATTTCACTCTACTAACACCAATAAACAAAAATCTCAGCACCACCGTGAAAACTGTTTATAGCCATTCATTTTGGAGATCGGGTGTAGAGGCTATATAAAAACAAAATAACAGACGATAGGTGGTAATCAAAAGAATCAACGGACGCACCAAGTTATTTTCCTATCAGGTAATTAAAGGGGCGTTAGGTATGATAAGATAAAGAGCTGACAGTTCTCGCTATAATAGTTAAGTGTGATTCTCCTTTGTCAGTGATGCAGGATGGAGGGCCTGACAAGGACAGCTGTCTAGTCGTTCGGATGGGACGAAAAACCGAGGTCCCGTGTACATATTGGCGTGCACGTAAAAGATCCCTTAGCTGTTGGAATTCGATATAAGAGTAGGCCGTAGCGCCGCTGCTCAGGCAAAATTTTCCTCATAGCACACTGTATGGTGTATGCCCGTCTTCATTAGCCCAAGTTAGGAGCAGAACAGTAGGACGTTAAACCCCATTTCATTTCATTTCATTTAATAGATAGACAATTCAAACAACATATCCTGAAAATTTCAGTCAACTTGCTTCATTCTGAACTGAGATATTAGCCATTTAATTTTAGGCACGTCTCGGATACCATTACTGACTTGGCATAACAAGTCTCGATTATCCACTTTTACGTTCAATTATCCAACACAAAATCTATTCAAATCCTGTAAATATCGTTGGCTAATGTCGGGAGTTGGTTATTTTCTGAATAAGTTAAAGGCTCAATACCACTCTTGTTGTAACTGAATAATATGTCCCAATCTTTATTCTGGTCAACAAATTATACTATTTTACAGTATTCCAATTAATTGATGATACAAATTTCATCTTAACACACCTAATTTAAAAAATTGGGAAAAATTCAACTAAATGATTTGAAAAGCCTGACGTAAAGCTTTTCAAATATGACTTGGATTTAAAAATATTTTTGAACCCTCTGGACAAGTAAAATAGGATTTAATGGATAATTTACACAACAGGTAGGACACATCTAGTACTTAGAATAAGGCTATTTTTTTTCTGGAGCTATCAAGCCAGCAAGATTGTTATTGTCCCTTTAATTAATGTCCAATTTATAATTTATATAACATTTCAGGCCAAAAGAAAGACCGCAGATTTAGTTCTTGCATTATGTCTGTTTAATTCTGTAGTTCCCCCTAGATCATTTACAATGGCGACGCCAAGGTATTTTCTCCAAATTATCAATGGAGTCTATATTCTTCCGAGATGCCCCCCCCACTCCCCCCCCCCCTTTTATGGTCACACTATGCGTATATGTTAATCAATCCTATTCTTTCACATCCTTTATTTTATCAAATTAAAGTTATATTACTCCAGTAAAATAGGGTGTCGATGTGAATAGGATGTAATTGTGGTGATTAGGTCTATTCAGTTCAACTTGATCTCGTAATGATAACAATTGCTTCAGTTACACAACCAAGGACACACAGGGGGCAAATGGAGTGCGAATTCGGGAAATTTGATACAAGTCCTGTTCAGATTCACAAAAATATCCTTTATAAACCTATAACGGTAAATCTCTTTGATCTTTAGGGTATATTCTATGCCCGGAATAACTTGCGGTCACAATATATATAGAGAAATTTGGGGTTATTCTTCTGAAAGTTTTTCTTTAAATCTGTAACAGGTTATTCTTCCAGGGTAGGTGTTTTTTCTATAAGAAAACATGATATAAGGTTTTTCTTACTGGAATTCTGGGATATTCTCAATTTACGTACATGTAAACATAGACGGTTTATAAGCAAGATAAAGTCCTCGACTTTAGTTATGCTGGGGAAGGACTTCAGAAAAAAAAAAACCTCGAACGAAAAACCTCCTCGGTTTTTCTTTTTCTCGGGTTATTTTCTTCAGCCTTTCTTTCCCCAGCATAACCTGTCTCGTGCTTGATCCTACACAGAAAGCACGGCTCTCAACCTAAACTATTTTACCCACCCAATATGTCTCGATTTCTGGGATATTTCAATACTTATCATGATTGGAAATATAAAAAAAAATCGACCCGTCGTCTGTCACAAAACATATTTATTTTTATACATGTATTAAAAATCAGTCCAGCTGAGGAAACAATGTCGTCATGAGAGCTAAAAGATAAAACCTGCCTAAGATAACGGCAGATAAGTTCATATTCATACGTCATACATGTACAATTGGACCTGTGAGATTCAGAGTACTCATGCAACATGTTTCAACGGATATCTATCTATATAAATGTCGTAAAGGATGTAGAATTATTAAAATAAGACAATGTCTAAAATGATCATTATTCTAGGTTGATCAGTGAAATACGTCTATATCGCAGATGATTTGTAATGTTACTATTAGAATCTCTTTTTCCTGCTTGTCGGATTGTCGATCTGAAATCTTCATCATTTGAGATATTCGTGAAAATTGAACATTGATTTTACTTTTTGGGGAGGGTTTTTGGGTTGTTTTTTTGTTTTATTTCTTTTCTGTATATTTATTACTTTCCAGTAGCCTAACCAACTGTTTATTTTGGGAGATATATTTAGGCTTGTGTAACGTGTGGACTAGATTGTGCAGGACATGAGTTGTTTTATAACGGATTTTTCTTCATTTATGAATATTAGTACGATGAATATTTTGTGGTGACAAAGGGTATTCAAATACCACTGTCAAAAGCAGGTGTCTTTAACTGGGACATCCCCCATTGGATAACTTCAGCGCGAATTCCAACTCAGTATTTTGACAGTTCAACTCGAATCTGTCTACACGGGCGGAGTTTGGCGACATCAGACGAATAAGCCGCGTGTGTAGTGACGTTTATTGCAAGAAAATAATACTTAAATTCAGTGAACCGTGGACAAATAAATTATTTTAGAAATGATATACACGGAGTATGTGTGATGCTGATGTTTACAAAAGCATCTCGCACAGGCTGAGCAACAAGTAAAGTAAAAATCGGATCGCCACGTTTTCTCTTTCTGTGACGATTGTGTTTGTATGATTGATGCACGAAGTGTGCAGGTTAATTGTGCCAGCATGGATAGAGAGAAGGACGTTGATTATGATGCAATTGATCTGATGTGGATGAATGATGGTGATGAAGACGAAGATGACAGTGAAGAGTGGGATAATAGGTAGGGTTAGAAAGTTATTAAAATTAAAAATGGGGTTTAACGTCCTACTGTTCTGTCCCGACTAGGCTGTTGAAAACGAGCATACGCCATACAACATGCTACGAGGGAAATTTTGCCCGGACAGCGGCACAACGGCCTACTCTTATATCGAATTACCAAGACATCTTTTACGTGCACCCTAGTGTGTACACGGGGTCTCATGTGAACGCCTATACGCTGCCCCTCTGTCTTGCACCATTGGCAAGGGGTGGGTGGGGGGAATCTATTAAAATCCAGTTTACAGTATATTTTATATATATTAAATATACGATAAGATAAGATAAGATGTTTATTGCATTAAAACGTCCATGAAGGACATCATGCATACATATACACTAAAGACATAGTCATATACATTCAATAATACATATTACATAGACAACTCAATATATTCATACAAACAGTATACTACATGTATATGTAATGTATAATATATCACCAATATTGTTAAACACACGACAAACTGGTGGTGTCAATTAGGACATGGTATCCTACGAACATATGGTTTTCATTTTGTGGCCTTCTTTTATTTCTCCTGGATTATAACAAAATTTCCATTTTGCGTCATTTATTTTTCAATTTTGTAAACAAGTAACCTATTTTTAGTTTGTAATTTTGTTGTGAAGTGAGGGACCGGTCCTATAATCTTTCGACAATATTGACCAGAACTCTGTCAATATCCTTGAAATAACTGACGAGCTTTTGTGAAAATCCAGAGCGTGTCTGTCACTTATAATAAATTCTTTATTTATTGTGCTCTCCAACCTCGTGGGTTTTCTCCGGTTCCTCCGGTTCCTCGGGTTCCCTCCCACGTAAGACCCCTACGCGCATGCGAATTATTGGAATAAAATTGAATAAAATTGAACCAATAGGACGTTAAACCCCATTTCATTTCATTTATAAAATAAATTGAACCATAAGTATGTGTAACGTGGACGTTACCCCCCCCCCCCCCTTATTTATTGTTGGTGATTTGAAGAAAAAATAATACAATGAAATAATACGAAATTTTTAACAAGCAATTTTTGATATCTCAATTCTTAGAATTATCGACAAATTAGGTCAGGCCGATTATGAAATAAAAACTTTGTTTCAGACATTTGATTAGCAATATTTAATTGTTATTAATAATTCATGATTAATTTCCAAAATAATAGTAATTTATTAATTGCACATGGATGTTTCAACTGACTTCACATTATTCCAAAAGTCGCGACTTTATTGTGAATATAATATAATATAATATAAATATTAGGCTTTTTATGGGAAATATTATCCATGGTATATTGTTAAATAGACCACAGTTAACGTAACCCGTTTGCAAGGAAGGGACTGTCTCAGAATATGAATAATATGCGTGTCAATCTCTTTTTATAAAAAGCAACAAAATAACAAATTTTAGGCCTAACGCCATAAGTGTAAATATATATTTATTATATGTGTTGGAGGACTCGACAAGAGATAAATAATCTTGAACATAAAAGATGAACGACTAGAAGGGATTAAATATATGGGAGTTTTTGTTGCATTGAAAACTTGAATATTCGTAAACTTTAAATGATTGGTACGGTTATTATATCCACAATTTTAAACAAAATCCTGCTTGTAAACAGGCCTGTAGGCCCGTAACTAAGGGTCGGGGGTCGACCACAATAGATATACATTGTCCGCCAATCTTACAGCACCCCCGCCCCCCTCGTTGCTCTGAGCTAGTTACGTCCCTGCTTGTAAAGTAAGCTTATTTGATAGTGCAGCGCAGTAGACGCTTACGACTGGCTCCTGGATCCATTCACCTGATTTGATATTTGTTTATTTTTTTGCAATGTCCACATTCTGTCTTGTCCACAGGTTTATCTTGTAGTCTTGTAGGTTTTTTGGGGGGTTTTTGTTTTTGTTTTTTGTTGGGGTTTTTTTGCGTGTAGTGTGGTCCTCCTGCACTTACTACTAGAGCAGCATATAATATGTAAAAGTAAAAAAAAAATAGAAATACAAAACTTATTCACGGGTACAAATTCACAGTCGGATAATACAAAGCCTACATACAACATACATATACAAAATAAAGTAAAACAAAAAATAACATATGCGCATATAAAATAGATACATGTAATAAAATATTATGTACACAAATAAACCAGTTATCGCTCCTCAAAAATAAAAACGTACACAAATACTTCATCACCCGATGGTGTATGGCTCTATTATTTGGAACCCTAAAATTTGCCTTTTTGTCCTGGTTTCCATTGATACGTCAAATAACAATTTTTTGGAAGGGGGGTGATGTATCGTTATGTCGGGGGGTTGGATGGCCGAATGGTTAGCATGCGCGTGTAATTGTATCATAAGGCCATTGAGTCATCCGGCGTGGTTGTACGTGACGAGGAGTACGGTCGCTTGTCCAACCTCGTGGGTTTTCTCCGGGTCCTCCGGTTTCCTCCCACTGCTAAAGACCCTTACGCGCAAGCGAATTACTGAAATAAAATTCAGTCATGTTAGTCCCGAAATGACCTGGTTTGTATGGACTGGGCGTTAACCCCCCCCCCTCTCTCTCTCTCTTCTCTCTCTCTCTCTCTTCTTCGGAACCTCTCTCTCTCTCTCTCTCTCTCTCTCTCTTCTCTCTCTCTCTCTCTCTCTCTCTCTCTCTCCTATTCTTTTGAACCTTAAAATAGACGAAAATGGGTCACAAATAATAATATAAAATGAATGAATAAAGTGATTTATTGTGAAATTTTTAAACTACTATTGTAATTTCTAATCAATTACGTTCGTGTACCTGAACAGTCCAAATTAGTTTAACTATTAGTCCATACACATTTTGTAAAATTATTTTTTGTCGTCTGCAAATCAACGATTACTAATTATTTCTGCACATTACATCTTGTAGGATATGGTTTTATTTGTTCATTACAAAATTGCACCCGAAACCATAGAATACACGACTCGTGTACTGATTATAAAATGTTCAATGTGTCTTAAATATTGGATATTTGGATCCCATATTTTCACCACAAGATAACAACATCCATATTGATTGAAATGGACCCATATTGAATTCTAATGCGTGTTTTTAATTTCAAATATCATGGAAAATATTGAGTTAGAGACCTAGCTCCTTTAATACAAATCCGTCACAAGAATGGAGTGCGGGACATTTAGTCAGGTGCAACTTAAATCATTATTCCCTTGCTTGGAGTTTCTGATGTTTTTGTATTTTGAAACATCCCCCGTCATCCTGTTCCGGACCATTGTAACCATTGTGACACTATAAATATTAAAATACTGTTATCTTTAGTGACAAACTACCTTTTTAAGCTACCTCTGTGCACATTACAACTATTATATGGTTACAGACCACTATTCATTGTCCAACTGACCTCAAATATTAATTCGATCTCTCACCAGGCTTTTTTTCTCAGGGGTCCCTTTTCTTAAACTGTGAATAAATCTGGTGATTTCATTCTTTATTATCCGAAAAAGTTCAATTATTCATAAATAAATTTCACCTGCAGCCACCAGGTATAACACATATTATTACCTGTAAAACCTGTGAATTAAAAAAACACTGATATAAACTCAAGTAGCCAATTTATACTTACCTCTCAGTGTGTGTGTGAAATAGCTTTATTTAAGGTCCGCTTCCACCGAAGTCATATCGCAGTTAACTAGAAAAGAATTTAAATGTTTTGGTTTCATTTAAAATGTTTAATACAGCACATGCATTAATCCCAGTTTTTAAGTGGGTAATAATGATTTTCTGCTCTATTGAATGAATTGAGTTTATCTGTAATGTGGGGTTATTATTAAGAGATTTGTTTTAGAGAGTTTCCCCATGGGTGGGAGGAGGTGGCTAGTTGGATGATCCTAGATGATTATTAGGAGAGACAAGGTGTATAATAGCAGATGCTAATTGGTCACAGGATTAATCTATTTGGAGGGTGGGGTGAGGGTATATTAGGGGCATGCTTTCCCATATAATTTAATAGGCTATATTCCTAGATGCATTAATTAATTGTTGATTATGACCCACCCATCCAAAGCTATTATTAATAAGAAACAAGGTCATTTAAAGTTACAATTTCATATTTTCTAAGAAAGTCAAAACATAATTATTTCTATGTCTTTTGCTCCAATAGGTTGTCAACTCGCTATTATACATCATATGTGCCATTCTCACACTTAAAACTCATTTACACCGGAAATAATAACACAATTACCTCCCTTGTTTTCTATTCTCCACCATGGAGCAGTTATCTTCAAACGTTTGAAAATGATGAAAATGATATTTTTGCCAATTTCTCAAATGGCAATAGTGAATTATAGGATTAATAGGATTATTCTTTAACAAAGTAGGACTGTTTATAGATACCATCAATTTTAAGGCTTTATTTTAATAAATTTTAAAAAAAACCTTAAAAACATGAAATTGCAACTTTAAAGATTTTTTGGGCGATATAAATATTTGGGAATTGGTGTGTGTGGTGCCTTATGAAGGTGAGTGTTACAGATCAGATGATCTGAAGGAAGACCTATGTGGTAAGACTTCTGTAGTAATACTTCTATGGAAAGACATCTGTGGTAAGACTTCTGGAGTAGGGGTCTTTAGTAGTGGGAGGAAAGCGGAGGACCAGGAGAAAACCCATGAGGTAGCAAGACTTCTATAAGACCTATTTCTATAGTAAGACTTAGGTAAGAAATCTATATGAACTATGTTTATATTTTGACCTGTGTGGTAAGACCTCTGTGGTAAAGCCTGTGCCTGTGTGAGTAAGACTTTTTTGGTAAGACCTGTGTGGTAAGACCTCTGTGGTAAAGCCTGTGCCTGTGTGAGTAAGACCTCTTTGGTAAGACCTGTGTGGTGAAACCTGCATCTGTAGTAAGACCGGTGTGGTAAGACTTCTGTAGCAAGACCTGTGCCTGTGAGTAAGACCTCTGTAATAAGACCACCATTTTAAATAAGACCA